ACGTTGACTAGAACCAGGTTTTCCGTACCCCTTACGAGGGATTTTATGGTGATCATTTTCATCAGATTCATCACTCACTTCTCCCTCCTCCAATTTCGTCACAATTTTTTTCTTATCTATAGCCATAGAAGAGCTTGCTAGCAGCATCAATACTAGTGCAATTCCCGCAATCCTCATTTTCACATGCATCACCTTTTGCTTCCTTCTAGCCACAAAACCGAAGTGAGCTACTCATCATAATATAAAAGCACTTGTGCTAAATATTGAAGACAATATATTAAAATAAGCAACGACATATATAAGATACGTGTATGTATATGATTTAAAATAAATAACAAGTGAGGGCAATTAAGAATACTAGTTATATACAGATCATTCAAGAAAAAAACAGTACATTTAATTAATTTACTCACCAGATCGGTAGAGCTAGGATGTTATATGTGTGGCTTTGTATGATCTTAATGGAGAAGAAAGGAGGAGGATCAAGCAACTTAAATAGGGGTTAGGGTCTTGGAATGAAATGTGAGATAGGGTCTTGAAGTCAGCTTCAAATAATATCATGGTGGGGTTGCAACCTATGACATTGAGGCAATATTAAGTGCGATGCCCATTAAAATTGTTAATTAAACAAAGTAAATGATGACATGCTTGTCTGTATTTCTATGTGCCCTAAATAGGGAAATTCCACCTAATGCAGGGTCATTGGCATATAGGTTGGATGATATCGATGATTTTTTTAAATTAAAATATGTGGTCTGTCTTAATGTAAATATGTGATTCAAATTAGTTTAGATATATATTTTAATCATATTTAATAATTTAAAAGTAATATCTATTGAAATTAATTTTACCAAATTTTAAAGTACACGAGACGTGGTTGGATTGTTGGGAAACACCAATGAGGAAAAGAATCATTTCAAATCCACATGAGCATAAGGAAAAAGTGAAATAAAACATAAGCAACATTGGCTAACGTTGAATATTAAGGATGTGTTTGAATTATTTATTTATTTATTCTTTCTAACTTTTATGAACAACAATAAACCTATGTTTAGATTTTTTTTAAAATTATAAGATTATCTTAATTTTTTTTTCAAATCCAAAAGAAAAAAAAACAAAGAAGCAAGTTTCAAGCACAAAATTCATTTTGGGGCTAAGCCCCAAAGGAACAAAGATTAACAACTGACATGACGAGACGAAAAACCATCAACACCGTCATGCCATAGAAAGAAAAATAAAAGCAGCCATGCGAGGGAAGCATAAGTAAGCTCCAGTGTCTCGAACGTAGCTCAATAGAGATGCATGTGGAAGAGTAGTTTTAGTAACATATTTTTTTAAAAAAATTTTGCAATATTTTTTTTATTATTGGTAAAATGTATTAAAAATTACAAAAATTATATAAAAGTCAAAATTAAGATTAAAATTATACAAAAATTATAATTTTTTTTTACTCTTATTAATACTTCCTCTTCTCCTTTTTATCTTTCTTCTAAAGTTAAAATACACAGATTAAAAAAAATATTTATTTTTGGATCACTAAATTTTGATAACTACTTGCTTATTTTATTCTTATTTTTGAAATTTGTACAAGTTAATTAACCATTTCATTAATGTGAAGGGTAAAGATATAATAATAATAAAATAATAAATATACTCTTAGAATTCTAATGATATAAATAAAAATGAACAATTTTTTTTTTAAAACACAAACAGATAAAAAGAAACGGAAGAAGTAAGTTCAAAAATATATTAATCAATGTTGAATGCTTGTGTAAGAATAATTAAGGAGTTGATTTAGTGCTTATTTTAAACAACATTTGTTATATATACAGATTTTTTTTGGGTATAAACTGTAATAGTTAGATGTATCATTAATTTTTTTTTTATAAATTACAATTTTAACTATTAAATTATGTAAAATCATCTTGATTATTATATACAAAACATTAAATAAATTAATACTTAACATTTTAAATGTAATAATTTATAGTCAATAATATTTTTTATTTTAAAAAATATATATGCATGTTAGTTAAAATAACTTTATGCAAATCAATTAGTTTTTAAAAATTTATGACATGTAAGTTCATGTTTGACAAATGATTATTTTTGCAAATAATCTTTGTTTTCTAATAGCTCTTTTGTCAGTATATTAGCAAAAAAAAATAGTTATTTTTTAAAATATGTTTAATTAAATATATACACTTAATTAATCAAGTTTAAAGTTCACAAAAATATCATATCAGAATATAAATATGAACAGACTTAGTCTTAATATAAATACATCTTCATTCCAATTATTCATAGTTATTGGTTTAAGTTGCCACTCATATACCCAGAGAATATAGCAACATGGATGATCTTAGAAGAAAAAAAAAACAACATAAGAAATTATTTATTTATTTTTTATTTATCCACTGAAAGAGTTTGAAGTAACTAAGCCGCAGTGACGGAGTCCGATGGTATCCTATTCCCGGAGAAAAGTGTGGTTGTCTATGTCCATGTAAGGACAGGTTAAACGAAACCAATGTCCATTAACAATTTTCTTCAAATTAACAAAATAATGCTGTTTTAGATATTTGTTAAACGTTATTTATTAATGGAATAAAAATATAAAACCTTCACAAGATTTAATCTAAAACGTTCATGTATTAGGTTGCAATTGTTTGATGTCAAAATCATCTAGATATTTATATTGCAATGTTCGTGGGTACACAACTTGATTAATTGAGTTGAGCAAAGGCAAGCATGATCGTCATTAAGAATAATTCCAACTCAATTGTAGACTAGGTTGATAGGTAAACAAACAAATATAGGGAAATGAAAATGAAAATGAAAATGCGTCACTTTATACTTGAGTCGATTTGATTTGATTATGGGAAAAATAGATTAAGTCAATTTAATTCGAATTCAGTAAATATTTTGTATACTTTTTTCAAATTCTAATTTAAAATTTTAAAATAAAAAACTATGTTATGAAATAAAAATCATCATTAAAAATAATAACAGTCCCGAAATTTAGAAAACCAATTAAAATGGATTCACTAAAATAAGAAAAATTCTAAAAACATTAATATCAATTTGATTCAGGTGAGTTCAATTTTAGAAAATATGAATATAAAAATGAAATTAATAGATATCAAGTTTGATTGATTTGGTTCGAATTGGATTTAATTAAGTGGAAATTCTAAAGTAATGTAATTAGTTTGATTACTGGTTGAGATCATCATACTGATTGGTTTATGGTCAGGCATTTATTAACGTACCATACTGATCATCCTTCTCAGACCATTTACTCAGTTATATCTTTCAGCTAGATGCATTAGTTGTGGTGTGGCTGAATCCATGCAGAAAAGTGCAATACTTCAACTGTACTATCTCGTTATGCTTTTTTTCCTCCTCCCCTTTCTTATCCTCATTTTCATCTCTTTGATATAGGCCTATTTTAATGAATTTTTAGAATTAAAAATAATGTTTTTTTTAAAAAAAGTGCAAGTGTAAAAAAAAAAAAAATTTGAGTTTTTAAACTAAACTTACTATTTAAATACCTGAAAATATCAGTTTTTGACATGTTTTCATTTTAAGAAAGGTGTATTGTATAGAGTTGTAAGTATACATCTAAACAGTGATTAAAGTAATTTTTTTTACAACTATCTATCATGTTATTATGGCCTAAAAAGTTATTTACTTGAAAAAAATAAGTCTTAAATTTATTTTTTATCTTATGAAATATTATTGCAACACAAATTTTGGTTAATTATATAAATTTATTTTTAAAGTATGAAAGAAGTAATTATTTTGATTTTATTTAATTACGAGTTGTATGCATTTGTTATTAAAAATAAAATTAGTTTATATATAAGAATAATTTTTAATGAAGTAAATATTTTTTAAAAACAATTATATTAAAATCTTGTAATTATAAAAAAAAAATAATTTAAGTGTACTTAATTATACTTTAAAAAATTATTAATTAAATAGAGTTGTCAACGTAAAAAAGTTATCAATAAAATAAAGTTGCTCCTGTTAAAATAAATTATAATATAACATAGGGAAGGAGATAGCTCCATATTTTATGAAGTTATCCTAAAAAGGAAGTCACCTTTAAAAAAAAAGTATCAATATAGTAAATCTGTTTTTAACTTTAATTTTCTCATGTTTCATATAAAATACTTTAGAAATTTCTTAATAGTAATTTTATACTTAGATTAACTATTGACTTTGTCACAATGTAATTAAACCTAATCATGACCTTAGCTTTTATTATGATCTTGCTCTTTACTTGATCTTCATCCTAGTCCGACTCTAGCTAAATCAAACTAAGATATGATGATAAATCAAAAAATAAAATACTAACGCTGATAGATTTTAGAAAAAGGACATTCTTATGAGATATTAAACCTACTTTGTTTTGTTTACTATTACAAGAGATTAGGATGTCCTCTTATTATTAATTTTCAAATTTCAAATATATAATGCAATTTTAAAGTCAAATTTCATAATTATTAAGGTTAGTTAATTAACTTGGTTAAAAATAACCGATCAGTAATCATTTCAAAACTTAATCATAAATATTTCAGTTCTGTCAACTAATGGTAATAACTGAGTGAGAAACCAAATCTTTTCTGTTTATTGACTGGACTATATATATATATATATATATATATATATATATATATATATATATATATATATATGCTTGACTCATGCATGTAAGTACATATCATGACATACTAAGTGGTTTTAGGGTACCAACCAAGAAATTCATGCTTGCCAAGGTAAATGCATGGATAATTGAGTACCCAGCAATTCCTTGTATGGACGTATATATATACTGCTTAATTAACAACACACATTTAGCAGTCATATATAACAACATATCAAACATTGCAACACTACTTGCCACGTACGTATAAATACACATTATACAGTCATATATATCTATATATATATATATATATATATATATCTGTGTGTGTGTGTTTTTTTATATATGTACATTAAGGACCTTGTTTAGGGACAGGCATGCCATAGCCCTTGTCAAGGATGTTATGGCCGCCGACTATACGTCCGTCAGATCCACCGGGTCCAGGAATTACATGGTTATTACCAGGTTTGGCCGAGTCCTTGGGAGGGTAATAGTGATAATGATCGCCGCCACCGCTACCGCCACCGCCACCTCTGCCGCCATCACCATAACCCGAACCAGAACCGTAACCAGAGCCATAACCCGAACCAGAGCCAGAACCATAACCCGAACCAGAATCAGAACCTGAACCAGAACCCGGAGCAGAACCATAACCAGAACCTGAACCATAACCCGAACCATAACCAGAACCCGAACCATAACCAGAGCCAGAAGTAGGACTTCCTTCTCCTCCCTTCTGATCCCCTTCCTCTTGCTGTGGATCTTCTTTCATATTCCTCACCAAACTCTTCTTATCTCTACCAGCCATGCATGAGCTAGCTAGTATCAACACTACTAGCGCAATTACCACAAGCCTCATTCCTTCTCTTCAACACAATCTCGATTAGTTTATTTGCTAAAAACCAAGAAAAACGACGCATTTTAGCTCATATTAGAAAATCATATACTACTAATTAATTAAAGCAGCTGGTTATTATAATCAGTTATTATATATATAATATGAATTTGACTTTTCTAAAGTGAGAAAGTAAGGATTTATTTGTCATTGATTTAATTAAAGCATGATATAATATATGTATATGATTTTAAACTACGGAGAAGGGAAGAACGAGCAATTAGCTACCTACGTACGAGCATCAGTTATATGCATACAACATATGATTGTTTAAAAAACAAGAAGCATAATTAGTTAACGCACCAGATATAGTTAAGGTCGATAATAAATGTGCCTTTGAAGATCTTACGCGAAGAAGAAAGGAGTCTCAAGCAACTTAAATAGGGCTAGCTAGGGGCATGCGAATGATCATAATGTGAGATAGGGGAATCCCCCCGAAGTCAACTTCAAATAGGAAAACTATATTTGAAATTTACTTTTTGAGTGTGAAGTAAATAGAAAGAAGAAGAAGAGAAAAAAAAAAGAAAAGAAAAAATTTTATATATGAAAAATAGAAAGAAGTCAAGTTTGCTTTATTTATTTTTTATTAAAATTTTAAATATGAACCCAATCTAAAATTAAAGAGAAAGAGTGAATTATAAATTTGAATGATTTATTTATTTAAGATATCTTAGATAATTTAAACTCATAACTCTCTTAATTAATTCTATTTCATTTGATTTATTAATAACTTACCTTTATACTAGTATCTCAACTATAAACGACCATAAATAACAGCAAGAGTTTCCTCAAATAATATAGTCGGGGTTGTCATCAATGACTATGAGGTAAGATTAAGTAAGTGCGATGCCCATTAAAACTATTAATGCATTAAAAATTCATGACATGTATATATTTGATAATAACCTCATGTTTGACAGATGGTGGTTAATTTTGATAAATAATCTTTATTTTCTATAATGTCTTTCATCCCGATATCAGCGAAGAAAAATCAGTTTTCTTAAAATAAGTTAAATATACACTTAATTACTAAAATTTAAAATTAAAAAAAAATTATAAATATGAATGGACTTACTCTTCAAATAAATATATATCTCCATTGCAATTAGTTATAGTTATTGATTAAGTTGCCACACATACATCCAGAGAAGCAACATGCATTATCCCAGGGGGGAAAGAGTTTCAACTAAGCACTATAGACGCAGTGAGGGTGTGTCGATGGGATATTTTTCCTTGCAAAAAGTGTGGTTATCTATGTTCATGTTAGGGCAGGTTAAACTTAACCAATGCCCATTAACAATTTTCTTTAAATGAATTATTAATAAAATAATGCTGTTGGAGATATTTGTTAAACGTTATTTATTAATGGAGTAAAAAATTATAAAACCATCACCAGATTTAATCTTAAAGGTTTATATGTTAGGTTATTTGATGTCAAAATCAATCTAGACACATCCTTGCGAAGTTCGTGGGCACGCACGCAACTTGATTAATTGAGTTTAGCAAAGGCAAGCATGATCATCATTAAGAATAATTCCAAATCACTTGTAGACTAGGCTGATAGGGGAAACAAACAAAAATAGGGAAATGAAAATAAGCACGGATCACTTCATACTGCGAGTAGATTTGCTTTGATTTCGGAAATACAAAAAATAAACCAAATAAAATAAAACAAAATAATTAAATTTAATTCAAATTTAATAAATATTTTCAATAAACTTAAATAAAACTAACTGGATGAAAGATGGGTTGGTTCCGATTGATAATTTTTACGTATTTTTTAAAATATAATTCAAAATATAAAATTTCTCAAATATACTATAAAAAATACATATATTTATCATTAAAAAATTAATAATAGTCCCCATATTTAGAAAACCAATTAAACGTATTCACTAAGATGAGAAAAATTCTACAAAAATATAATATTAGTCTGATTCGGGTTGGGTTGATTTTATAAAATATGAATTTGAAAGCCAAATCAATAGATGAGGTTTTGGTTCGATTTGGGATTGATTAGGCAAAGAAATCTAAATTTATTTGATTCTATTGGTTGAGTTCACAGATTGATCTGACCCAATAAATACCTCTACTTTGTATTGATTTTAAAGAACATTGCTGTATTATGTGGTAAAAATATTATATATTAATAAACAATGACATAAATGTTAAGATTATTGTAATTCAAATAATTTTAAAATAAAACTTGAAAGTTATTAATATAAAAATTTTGTGCACCAATAAAATAATAACTAATAAATATATATTTATTTTTTATCTTAATAGAATTATTTCTTACAATAATGTATCATATTTTTAATATATTTTTTAATATTAATATTTTTGTTAAACAAATGCTATGTATAAGAGAATAATTAATTTATTGTATATAACATTTTTTTGAGTGAATTTAGTTGCTCTTATTTTGCCTAAAGTACAAGTTATTTTACCTTCTTAGTATAAAAAAATAATACAACATTTAAAAGATAAACTTAACTGTTGTTTAAGTATTTTTAGTGATTTTTTTATTATAATTATAGTTTTACTTTGATAAAATATTTGTATTTAAGGTTATAGGTATTTATTCAGTCATATTTATTCATTGCCACTAATATATTTTAATTTATATTAACTAAATTAAAATGCTAAAAATTATATATATTTTTAGAAGGATGGAGTGTTATTTTTAAAACGCAGGACTATAAAGTCGATCGATAGCACTCGAACTAAATACATGTGTCATCAATACGTAAGATTTAGTGTAATACGCATAAAGTTGTTCTTCAATTTTGATGGAATGATAGAGTTGTCATGTATTCATTTGTCTTATAGAAGTAGCAAGGAAAACTCTTGCTTACTAACTATCAGAGCAGAAATTAACTTATTAACCAATGTTTGTCAATTAAGGGTCTGTTTATAATAAGTTTTTAGTATTTTTTTAAAATATATGTGAATTCTAAAATAAAATATAGTTAGTTTGATTTTAAATTCAATTTTAAAATTATTTAGTCTCAAACTGTAAAACATAAAAGAATAATTAATGTTTAGATGCAAAAATGTATATAAATTCTCCATATGAGCCCTCCATAACGAATATGACTTGAAAATGCTTTTGATGAAATCTAATGGTTCCAAGATTGACAAGCATAGAAACAAACCAAATCTTATTTATTTTTAACTCGACTGTATGTGATTATCATAAATGCAAGTGTACTGCTTATGCTTACCAAACATTGCAAGAGTACTTGTACGTACGTACGTATAAATACATTATATAGCCGTATATATGTATGTACACTAAGTACGTATATCTTCTTCTCCTGGGGTGCCAGGTATGTCAAAGTCCTTGCGAGGAATGCCATGATGGCCACCCACTGAACGTCCCTCAACTCCACCGGGTCCAGGGATTTCATGGCTATTACCAGGTTTCTCGTACTCCCTGCGAGGGATATAATGCTGATTATTATAACCACAACTTGGATCATCACTTCCTTCTTCTTCCTTTTTTTCTTCATCTTCTTCCAAACTCTTCTTATCTATAGCCATACAAGAGCTTCCCAGCATCAACACTACCACGTAAATTGCCACAACTAGCCTCATTCCTTCTGCTCCCTCTCTCATCAACCCTCACTGGATTATTTATTTGCTTTATACGAAGAAAACCATCCAATATAAATTAGCTAATGTTATAAAACCATACTAAAATAAAGCAGCTAGTCATGATAATTAATTATTATAAGCACAACATGTACAGCATATACATAATATGTATGTGTTTTTGAGCAACGGAGAGGAATTAGCTACCTACGTACGAGTATTAGCTATCTGCATACAACGTATGATTGTTTTTAAAGCGTAATTAAGTTAACGTACCAGGTATAGTTAAGATCGATAAAATGTGCCTTAGAAGATCTTACATGAAGAAGAAAGGAGAGGCTCAGGTAGCTTAAATAGGGACTAGCTAGCTAGTGGTATGGGAATGATCATAACGTGAGATACGGAAATCAGCGGGAAGTCAACTTCTAATAAGAAAATTATACCTAGAGGTCTACCTTTAGAGTGGGATCGAAGTATATAAAAAGAAGGAAGAAAAAATAGAAAAAAAAAAAGTAAATGTAAAAAATATATCAATGTAATAAACGAGTGTAAAATAATTAATAGTAAGAGTTTCCCAAATAATATAGTGGTGGGGCTGTCATCACCGTCGATCTGTGAGGCAATATTAAGTGCGATGTCCATTAAAACTATTAATCTATTAGTCAAATCAAATGATAACATGTTTTGTCCTTATTTTTGTGTGGCTAAATAGGAAAATTCCACCTTATAAGGAGACACTGGTTATACTGGTTGATGTCCAGTTTGGGATTGTTGATTTTATTTTATCTTTAATATGTGGCCAGTGGTTGAATTGTCGGAAAATATCATGGTGAAGGAAGACTCCTTTCAAATCTACTCGAGGAAAAGATAGAATTTAAATAGTTAAGGTGTTGTTTGCTGAAATCATGCATGCGAGGGTGTGTTTGGATAGTTTTAAAAATACGCTTTTATAATATAATACTTTTCACATCAAAATGTATTTTTAACTTTGAAAAAATTAAAACAATTCTTTATTATTGACAAATATTATTATCTTAAGTTTTATATATATACAAACGCGCGCGCAAGCTTTCGAAGAATATAAGTTTTAATTTCCATCAGTTAAGAAAGGAGTTGAAATCTTATCATTGTAAAAAAATTGTATTATGTGTATTTTACTGCTATATTATTGAATATTTTTAATAATAAATTTAATCGTTAAATCGTATGTATCATTTTAATAATCATATATAATTTTAAATAATTTAGGCAACAAAGGACTGAGGTATTTAATATTATTCTCTTGCTAACATTTTCAACTGTTTCCTGTTAGTATTTAAATGATTACACGGTTGATACTTGATTACTGAAGCTACGTCCCTCCATAA